GGGAACGGGATATGCCAGGTCTGTGGTAAACTTCCTTCAGGGTATTAAACAGCACAGCAGAAACTCTCGGGTTGGGTAGGTGGTCAGCTCATCCAGAGGTCCCCTTTAAGGATGGATGGGTCTGCAGCCTGTGTTACAGGGATTCCCTCCTCTGGGTACTTGAATGGGCCAGGTTCACAAGTAGGCTCTGTAAATTAGTAGCTCCCATAGAATCCATATACTTGTGTGATTTGTCTGCTTTCATGATTTCCTCTTGGCAGTGTAATACGGTTAGGCCATTTGGCTTTCAGAGCAAGCAGGAAGGTGAACGTCTCCAAGCTGTAATATCCTCTGTCTACAAAGTCACCCTGGCCATGTATGTCTCCACAAACAGTAACTGGTGTTGAAACTGGTTGGAGACATACATGGCCAGGGTGACTTTGACTGAACACCCTTTTGAAAGGGGCCTAACAGTTCTAGGTGTGTCATTCAGTGTAGGTGTTCTCCACTCACCCATGCTGCCACTGGCTCTCCCAGTCTCCTTGCCTCTCTAATCTATGCTGTTGCCACAAGTGGAGAGGGGACATGCGAGCCTTTTCGACAGTCAAAAACCCAGCTTATAAAAACTGAGAGGGTGCACTCCCAGCACTGGAGTTCACAACATTTAAATATTGGTCACCCCTGCAATCCTCTTTCAATACTGGTCACCTCTGCATCCCTTTTAACCCACTTCCAACTGCTCATGTCTGCACACCCTGAAACCCTCTTTCAGCTCTGCTCACCTCTATACCCTTGTAACCCTTTGAAAACACTGCTCACCCTGCAACCCTCTGAAAACACAAACATTGCTCATTTCTGCACCTTTTGCAGACCTCTTCCAACACTGTTCACTTCTGCATCCCCTACCACCTTCTTTGAAGCTGTTCACCCCTACTTTCTTCTAACACTGCTCACCACTGGCAAACGTTAGTCACACTTCAAGTAAGCTGTAAGCAATAGGGGAATAGGACTGAGGACAGGATTCTTGCTTCTGCTGGTGGAACTACCAGGTGCTGTGGTCGATGCTCGAGGTGGAGCCAAATAATGTGGCTAATATCCACAGTTGCCCACAGCATGTAGGTCCAGGATAGATCATTTGCAGGAAGGATAGAAATGCCCAGTAGTAATATGGCTAATGGGAGGGCAGGGGCACAGCAGAAGGCAAATGCGACAGTCCAGTAGGAGAAAAGCTGTTGCACCGCAATTGGGCCACCACCTAGTGGCTAAGAAAAATTGACTTTGTTCACAGCCTGGAGAAAAGAGATTTGTCACATTTGACAACTGTTCATGAAATGAACCTGGCCATAAAATTAATAAAAAGCAGTAAATAAACTTTAAAGCAATCCCTTACAAATCTCTATAGCTGTAAGCATTGTGGAACAGATCATCCTCAAAATCTACAGCAGAAGCACTGAAGTCCTTTCTCTCTGCAGCTCCACTTCCCTGCTTGTTCCTCACAGCAGTGCTTCAGCAGCTGCGTTCTTCCTGCTCCCATTAATGCTTCAGCAAAAAAAGCTTCCCCTGCTTCCCCTCCCGGCTGTGAGTTTGCAACTCCGTTATCCCCCCTCCCTCTAGCAGCGCTTCAGCAACCCAGCCCCTACTCTCCAGCAGTGGTTCAGCAGCCTTCTAAATCTTTAATGTAAACTCAGACAGAAGCTCTGGTATGGGTAGCAGAGCTGCCGAGGAAACCACTTCAATTATGTGTTTTTCTACTGGGAATTTTGAGGACCTATTGCTCCACAGGGACTGCAGCTACAGAGGTTGTCAACCATTTTCTTTCAGGAAAAGCTTTTGTCAACACAACTTACTGAACAAAAATCACAATTTGCAGAACAATGTCCACAGTCATTGAATTACATGTTTCTAAGAAAAATACATTTTTTTCCCAAATAAAAGGACAAGATGTGAGCTGTGCACTAACAAAACCTCTCCCTCTAGCATCAGAATTTTATTTACATTGTGCCAAACCCCCAAAACTCTTACAGATAAATCTGGAAATCTTCTTTGTTTCTCTGATTAACAAGCCAAGTTGTGATTCAGGTTTCCTAACCTGACACATACAGAGCATTATGGAGGACCTGCGGCATTACCCTGAGCCGAGGTTGGGGGCTGATTAAGTATTAATGACCTGCTCACACCTGCTCTTGTGTAAATGTATTTTTGCCACTTAGCATCGCTGCTCCTACAAAGCCAAACACATTTAACACCCATTATAAACGGAAATGCTCTAACAAACGGCTGCACAAAATGGCATCTGTAGGAGTAAATACACTAGGAGATTTTTTTTTTTTTTTTAAGCTTCATCTGTGTTTTTGTATGTCTGAGTTGTTTTATTCTTCAAAGCAAGGTGACAATGACAGTTTTTAGCATGCAATTCAGAGAGATCTGTTTATTTATTTCTGCAGTCGCCAATCTTGGCAACTGGGTGCGGGATTTTTTGACAAGCATATCTCCTGTGGGATGGGAATGAGGGACACCTTTTTAGTGCAAAGCATGTAAGCAAAGGACGCACTACTAAAGCTCTCCCCAGATACCCAGACCATGAAGAATCAAGGTGCCAAAAAATCATCACTTAGACACATTTTTGCTTTTTTTTTCACTGCTGCTTTCAGCATTCGATAATAACAAATGTAATATGTTAGATGCTGGATAAAAAGTTAAGCAGAATATAGACATTTTGGTACTTAAATTGTACATTTTATTTACAGAGATTTGTTCTTTCCTCCATAAATGATTCCTCCTTTTCAGAAGGATGAAGAATTGAAAGATTGGCTTTCTAAAGAGGGACAGCAACATTTCTTTCTGCATACTCCATGTCACTGCCTTAACTCCTTTCTATTTTTTCTTTGGTCAGCTAGTAGGCATGAATGCACTGGTGATGTTCTCGTTGAACTATTCACTTCCTGTAAGCCCTACGTAGCAGGACCCCTGAAAGGGCCACTGACGGATGATGATTAAATGTGATTAATGTGCACCTTTCCTGAAGACTGCCATACAGATGATGATGACTAGGGTTCCTTCCCTGGTTGTGTAGAGGATGCCAGCACACACACAATAGTGTCTCCATACACACTGACCCACCAGTCTAGGGGATGTCTTTTTAGGTTTTAATGCTGATAAAACTTGTAACTGGGAAGAGCTACAAGGCATGGGCTACTAAGTGCAAATTCAGGAGAAGGCACTAACTTCACAGTCCTGTAGGTAATGCATCTTGATCTGAGAGACTAGAAGGAATGGCCAAATCAGGGACAATGTAAAGGCTGTACCATGTAAAGCTACACTGGCCCTTTATATCCTTGCAGCACCAATGTCACCTGGATCAGCAAACAGTCTTTTACTCATGAGGCCACCGAATAGCTTGTGCTAGTAGATTGGATCCTCATGTGTGACATCTCAGGGTGTCTTTGTAGTTGCAAGTATGGGCCCCTGGCTCTGCCACAACGGGACCCTGATGAACATCAATGTAGATCAGCAGAGATGGCAGTTTTCCCAGCTGGTGAATCTTAGGAGCCTAGCATGCACTTGGTATACAGTCCTACATATCTGACCTAACAGGCTTCTGAGCCTAGCAGCATAGACAGTCCAGTAGCAACTTCTCAGGCCTCAGTCCTCCTTTTTCGCCCTCCTTGTTACCCTCTCCATCATGCTTCAGTGGTCTGAACCACCTACTGAGATGCCTGGGGAAAATTTCGAATTTTGAGTTCTGGCGTTTTTTGTATTAGCCAACAGAGAAAAATTTTCATCTGTGACATCAATTGTTGCCATGTCTTGCCATGCCAGAAAAACAGGCTAAAATGCAGGAAAATGCGCAATTTGCGCATTTCCATGGGAATGAAAAATTGACAAAAACACATCAATGCCCAAATGGAGTTAAAAAGAAGCTCCAAAAATTTTTGGAGCTGCTTTTTAAGTGTAGTGGAGATGTGAACCATCTCCATAGAACAATATTGTTTTTTTTTTCCCCCTGAGCTTTTGGAGCTTCAGGCTTCACACTACAAAACGCTCAGGTGGGAATGGGGCCTTATAGCCTGTGGTCTAGCGACACTGGCTGATTTGCTTGACTTCCTGAAATCTGAGGGAACACATAAGCGAACCGTGTTGTGTTTTATATACTTCAGGATTCAACCTCACCTTTCCTCTCCTTGGTCGGATATGTAAACTTTGTTCTTCTCATGGAATGCCACCAAGCCACAAGATTTTTCTTCAATGTCTGTTTCCAGGTCCTGGTGTTTGTCCTTCATTCTGTCCTCCCCACAGAGCTGGTGGATGGAGTGGTAAAAGGTTTGGTGATCTGTACTATCTGGAGACTTGGTTTGCACCTGGGCCCTGTTCTCCAGTTCCACAGGGTTACCGGCTGCCCGCTCTTTACTAGATTTAGACCAGGATCCGCCATATTCAATGCCCAAAGCCAAGAAATTCCAGCTGTTGTATCCCACTGAACGAAGAGCTGAAACACAAAGTAATGAGGAATGAGGGCCTGAGTGCCTTTTTATTAAGCTTCTAGCCTGTCTGTGAGTATCCAGATGTAGTGTATTGTAGATGTTTGGTGCACAGCTGCAGGTGTCTGAGGAGAGGAGAATGAGAGATCGAAGGGAGCAGGGTATTTCAGAAAAGGAGAATTATATAGTGAAATGAGCAGAGTGCAGAAGCAGCACCGAGTATTTCAGAATGGAAAGAATTAGATAGCGGAAGGAGGAGAATCTTCCTGCAATGCAGAGTATTTTAGGAAAGGAGGATATAAATGGAGCTTCTGGTAGCACAGAGTATTTCAGAAGCAAAGAATTAGTTAACTATTTGCCTACCAGGGCAATTTTGAAAATTGTTCACAAACGTGTTAAAATCTGCATTTATTTTTGCTCGAAAAAATTTAGAACCCTCCTAGCATTATAAATTGTCTGAAAGCAGAGGTCCTGGAAAATAAATTTGTGGCTGTTTCAATGTTTTTATGTCATGCAATATTGGCGCAGCTGTTTATGAAACTCTTAACCACTTCCTGTCCGGCCCATGTATATAAACAGCTGGATTGGAGCAGTGCAGGGGAGGGTGGCCGTTTATAAACAGCCTCTTTGCCCCTTGCTTGTGTGTGCTCCCTGGGAGCGTGCAGCACCGCAATCCAGTGCCTGCTGTGTCCTCCAGACACAGTGGAACACCGATCGTTGTACAGGACCTCTGTGTGAGGTCTCAATCATGTGATCACGGATTTGCCAATCCGTGATCACATGATTGGGACCTCACACAATCCGTGATCACATGAAAGAGTAGTAAGCAAGATGTCACTTCTGACATCTGACATGACATTGCTTACTACGTGTGAAATCTGTGAATGATCACAGAGGTCACATGGTACAAGGCTATTCACAACAGCCTTGTACCATGTGACAAGCTGTTACCAATCACAGCTCACACAGTATTTCTCAATGGCTGCAAGAATGCAGCCAGAGAGAAGGAGAAAAGATTGCTTTTACAGCATGTCACAATGTGCCTTCACCCTTCCCCCTCCTCCCCCCCTTTCCGCGTCCTCATCCTACACAGCCTCGGAAGCCAGGCTGTGCAGGATGGGAGGAGGGGACCCCTGCGGCCAGGATCACAGCTCATCCGGCAATCGAGGCGGAGGAGCTGTTACCCCCCACCAGGAGACCCCAGCGGCAGGCTGCCACGGTGTCTCCGCGCGCCCCCCGGCGGGCACGGCGCAGGCACGATGCGTTCCCGCGCTCTGTGCCCACCGGAGATAAAGGCCGCGCTGAGGGAGGTCAAGGGGGGTGAGTCGAGGGGGGTGCCTCGTTGCCCCGACAACATGGCGCTGGGCCGGCCATTGCCGGGGCAACCCAGAAGCGTCGTGGGTACTTTAAAAGGACAGCGCGGGAGCCAGCTGGTCTCTTCCTCCCGCTGCTGTCCCTGGGGCCACCGCTGTCGTGGGAGGTCTGGGTGGGGACCGGGCCTCCGCAGCCATCCCCGCTGAGTGCTCTGCATGAGCCCCCCTCCTCAAAGGTCAGACCCACAGCCATGACTCCTGCTGTTGTTCCTAGCCGCTGGGAGGGCCCTTGCCTGCTGATTGCTGGGCCCCTGGAGAAGCTGGCTGCTGTGAGGGCTGCCGTCCATTGCTGAGGGTCCCTGGGAAGCCATCCTGTCTGCTGATCGTTGGGCTCCTGGGAAGCGGTCCCCCTGCCCTGCCTTAACCGCTGCTGTCCCCTGAAAAGCTGGCCGCTGTGAGGGCCGCCGTCCCTTGCTGAGGGTCCCTGGGAAGCCGCCCTGTCTGCTGATTGCTAGGCTCCTGGGAAGTCGTCCTGCCTGCTGACCGCTTTGTCCCTGGAAGCCGCCTGCTGCTGAGCATCCGCAAGTCGCCTACCCCCCTCTGGAAGCTGCCTGCTGCTGAGCACCTGCAAGACGCCTACCGTAAGTGTCCTTAGAAGCCATGAACTGTCTCTATTGTGCGCACAGACCACCCGTGCCCTGAACTGTCACTATTGTGCTCACAGACCACCCGTGGAATGAACTGTCCCTGTTGTGCGAACAGACCACCCGTGGCATGAACTGTCCCTGTTGTGCGTACAGACCACCCGTGGCATGAACTGTCCCTGTTGTGCGCACAGACCACCCGTAGCATAAACTGTCCCTGTTGTGCGCACAGACTACCCGTGGCATGAACTGTGTTGTGCGCACAGACCACCCGTGCCCTGAACTGTTGTGCGCACAGACCACCCGTGCCCTGAACTGTCCCTGCTGTGCGCACAGACCACCCGTGCCCTGAACTGTCCCTGCTGTGCGCACAGGCCACCCGTGGCATGAACTGTCCCTATTGTGCGCACAGACCACCCGTGGCATGAACTGCGCCTATAGCATGCCCAGACTACCCTTACTTGAACCGCCCCATGGCGTGCCCGGAGTATAGCTACCTGTGATGCCCCTGAGTGCCTGAGCCATCGCTTCCTGCTGAGTCCCCGTGAGCCCCCTGAGCCCGGTGTCCCTAGAAAGCTGAATGGGAGCTGTTTTGAGGCCATCCTCCGCCAAAGTCCTGTTGAGTCCCCGTGAGCCTGATGTCGTCCCTAATATGCTGTGTTGAGGCCAGACTCCACAGCCAAGGTCCCGTTGAGTCCCCATGAGCCCACTTACCGTGGGCGTCCCTACAAGTTGCATGTCACGGAGTGCCATGAACTGTCCCAATTGAGTGTCTGTCATAGTTCAATAAAGCTTTGTGTGTTCCCCATCTTCTTTGTGTGTTCTGTCCTGCCTACGCTTCCGTTACACAGCCTTTATGGGTGTAAAAGCAATCGGTGTAAAAAAAAAAAATCTTCATCCCCCCCCCACAAGTAATACAGTGTCACTATGGTGACAATGTACTGCTGGGGTGACAGTGTGTAAAAAAAAAAAAAAAAAAAAAAAAAAAAAAAAAACATGGTATAAAAAAAATTTCAAAATACATTTTTAGAAAAATTATAATTTTTGGTTATAAACTTATTTGGGGTGTGTGGGGTTTTTTTTTTTTACTAAAAAGATAACTGAATAAATTTTGGCCAAGACTTATAAAATGTTGCGAATAAATAATCTTTCTTCATAAGAAAAACACTTTTTTTCAACATTTTTGGACTTTTTCATTCTATATAGCAAAAAAATTAAAATCCCAGTGGTGAATAAATACCACCAAAATAAAGTTTTATCTGTCGCAAAAAAAATTCATATGGGTACAGTGTTGCATGACCGCGCAATTGTCATTCAAAGTGTGATAGTGTTGAAAATTGGCCTGGACAGGAAGGGGGTGAAAGTGTCGGACTTGTAGTGGTAAATTATAGAGGAGATTGGGCAGACTGGTTCAAGCTAATAGGCAACAGTAACTCAAATAACCACTCCCTACAACCAAGGTATGCAGAATACCATCTCTGAATACACAACATGCCGAACCTTGAAGCAGATGGGCTACAGCAGCAGAAGACCACATCGGGTGCCACTCCTGTCAGCTAAGAACAGGAAACGGAGGCTACAATTTGCACAGACTCCCCAAACTTGGACAATGGAAGATTGGAAAAACGTTGCCTGGTCTGGTGAGTCTCGAATTCCCTAGAGATGGTTGTGAGTGAAAATCCCACTACATCAACCTTTTTTGAAATACTCAGACCAGCCCATCTGGCACCAACAACCATTCCACTTTCAAAGTCACTTAAATCCCCTTTCTTCCCCATTCTGATGTTCGGTTTAAACTTCAGCAAGTTGTCTTCACCATGTCTGGATGCCTAAATGTATTGAGTAGCTGCCATGTGCTTGACTGATTAGCAATATGTGTATAGTTGGGTTAAGCATAGCTGTGCTTCTCTGCTTACCAAGGAGGCTGTCTGTTAAGCAGAATACCACACTGAATTTACCTGAGTGCTGTGATTGATCAGTCAGGTCTGCTCATGCTGCTCTGGTGCTGTTGGAGTTTGAGTTCTGCCCACCTTCAGGAAGCTGTGAGAGCCTTCCAGAACATGAGAAGGGGCTAGGCAAAGGAACAGCATGATTATGGATACAGCCCTGGCCAATTGCAGGGGAAACAGTCCCATTGCATGCTGGGAGTGGTATTTATATTCAGAGAGCACATGAGTTCAGTGTCTTTCCCAGGAGAGGATTGCACCAGCCAGGCTGGAGGCTGGCTGCCTCACCTGGCAACTGCAGCCATGTGGCCTCAGGTGGGTCGACCTGAGGACCTGAAGCTAGAGCAAGCGAGAGAGAGACCCTGATTCTGCAGGAAGCAGACTGAGGGGAGTTGTCTGCCAAGGCAATGTCTGGTATCACTGGAGGGCTTCGCTTGGCAGATTGGAAGGAGGCATCCACTCTATCCTTGGGCTTTGTGAGTACTGACATTGAGGAAAATTGGGGACGCTGTGTGCTTGCTACCTCCCCTGCTGTTATGGCAGCAAATAGGGCTGTTTTTGCAGGAAAAGGGAGATCTACTCTATATTAGGTGGATGGTCATAAAGTTATGTTTGGTGGGTGTATACTCTCATTTTGAGTGCTTCACATGGTTGGTGGGTGTATGCCCTCATTTCGCGCGCTTCACATGGTTGGTGGGTGTATGCTCTCATTTCGCGCGCTTCACATGGTTGGTGGGTGTATGCCCTCATTTTGAGCGCTCACATTTGGTGGGTGTATGCGAGCGCTTCACATGGTTGGTGGGTGTATGCCCTCATTTCGAGCGCTTCACATGGTTGGTGGGTGTATGCCCTCATTTCGAGCGCTTCACATGGTTGGTGGGTGTATGCTCTCATTTCGAGCGCTTCACATGGTTGGTGGGTGTATGCTCTCATTTCGAGCGCTTCACATGGTTGGTGGGTGTATGCCCTCATTTCGAGCGCTTCACATGGTTGGTGGGTGTATGCCCTCATTTCGAGCGCTTCACATGGTTGGTGGGTGTATGCCCTCATTTCGAGCGCTTCACATGGTTGGTGGGTGTATGCTCTCATTTCGAGCGCTTCACATGGTTGGTGGGTGTATGCTCTCATTTCGAGCGCTTCACATGGTTGGTGGGTGTATGCCCTCATTTCGAGCGCTTCACATGGTTGGTGGGTGTATGCCCTCATTTCGAGCGCTTCACATGGTTGGTGGGTGTATGCTCTCATTTCGAGCGCTTCACATGGTTGGTGGGTGTATGCTCTCATTTCGAGTGCTTCACATGTTTCTCTGTTATAATATGGCAGAAGCCGGCACATACAGTATCAAGGCGGACACACTCAGGGTAGAGATACATACCCACAGGGCAGAGAACAGACATGCAACACTGTCAGAGCATACAGTACACAGACGAATATCAAAGTATTTCTGTGTTTGCTTTGTACTGTTACAGTAAATGCTGTTAGTACGAAGTGCAAAGTCGGATTACAGAGGATAAAAAGACATTCCACCATGTGGCCCCCACACTCATCTAACATTGAATGCATTGTAAGCTCCAAGGAGCAGGGCCCTCGAACCCCCCGTGTATTGAATCGTATTGTTACTGTACTGTCTCCCTTTATAATGTACAAACTGTTGGCGCTATATAAATTCTGTATAATAATAATGTGCAAAAGGGGGATATTTTTTCTGCTGTATTTCAACAAAATGGTGATCTGGGATGAATAAAATCACTGTGGCTTGGTTGGTGGAAGGGCCGGTGCTACCACTAGGCAAACTAAACTAAGCAGCTGCCTAGGGCGCACTACCACCTAGGATACAGCCACAGCTGGAAACAGCATTTATTTTTCAACATACTCCCCTGCTACATTTATGCACTTATCCCAGCATTTTTCTATGCCAAAGCTTTGCAGGCATTAGATTTGTCATTACACCTGAACCATCCTAGGAAAGTCTGCTTCACTTCATCATCATTGTGTTCACTGTTCCCACAGAAAGATCCATCTCTCTTTTGCAATTTCACGACAAGTTATGTGTCGATTATCCAGGATT